CCCCACTGCTCCTCCTCCTCCTCCTATACTCCGCTCTCTGACTCCACGGCTCCTCATTCACTAGAAGATGGCGGACTGCGCTCCACTATTAGATGAGGAACTCTCGTCCTTTGTCTTCAATTACCTGACAGAAAACTCCGGCAGCCAGGTAAGATCTCGGCCCCTCTGGATACACGGAACTTTGGGCTTTTCGGACCGGGGTGCATCTGCGCGCGTCGCCGGCCGTGGCGCACGCTATGCCCGGTTGATGCGAGGCTCTCGCCCGGCTTGTCAGCAGCATCTCCCCGGCACAGTGCGACCCGGCGTCTCGTTCTGCGTGCGTGTGTATGTGTGTGTGAATGTCTACTATGTCTTGACGTCTGGCTTTCACGTGTTTTTTTTTTGGAGGAAATGCCATCAACCATGGGGCAATTTGACGGATTAAAAGGAATAGTTGTGTTTGTGTGGGTGCTGGAAGCTGCGGGCTGCCGGTGTGTGCTGCTCGGGGAGGATTATTTGGCATGCAGAGGGGCGCTTTTGAAACTTTTGACGCAATCTTGAGGGAAGTTTTAATTTCAGTGCTGGAGACTTGGACACGTGGTGCGCCTCTGAACGCATGGACAGCCGGAGGACTATTGTGATATTATGACATTATGATACTAATCCTCCGGCTACAGGACAGCTCGGTTTTAAAAAAATGTGTGAAAAGAGTCACTTGTGTGTCTTTTAGGTGGTGCGTACACGGCTGGTTGGATATTGTGTTTTATCTCGTTTTCTCGTAGAATCGAAGCTGGTGTTTAATAAATGCCTGTTTGTGGAAGCACTGCAATACATCAGTGCTGCGTAATGTTATTTATCCACTCCATTATAAGCTGCTTGCCACAGCACCGCGAGCTTAACCGCTTGGATGTCTGTAGGCTGTTCAGTGCGCTTCAAAGTTGAGCAACTCCCACCGATGATTCCTCCAATTTCTCCCAATTGGTCAGTTAATCAGACGATGTTGTGAAAAGCAATGAGACGAAGAGGAGGCAGTGGGTTTCAGTCAGCTGAGAAAGTTGACGCGGTTTTTGCGTTTTCATAAGCGTTTGCGTAATCGTTAGGAAACGGTTACAAAACGTTCGTCTGGTTCACACGACTGTTTGCTTTGGCAAACCGAAAACAGCGTATCCTTGAGCAGAGTGGCTGAACGGGTGAGGATGACAGTTTGCTGCTGTGGGCAATCGCGAGGAAGAGATTTTGCAGTGAATTTCAAGGAAACGTCAAGATGCCAAACTGCATTAAGGAATCTCTGCAATTTAGTGGTCCCTTTCTTATTGGCAACCGTGCATAACACCTAAAACAAGCATGCATTGTTTATTCTTTCATTGGATTCGGTGCACAGTCATCACACCAAGCAGCACCTATTGAAACAGTACGTGAACTTTTAGAACTGGCTCCTGTTAATCCCAGAATAATCTCCTACCCAAGCACCCGTGGAGGGCGGTAGCGAGTGGTGGCCAACAGTGATAGAAGTTGAGATTCCATCGAAATGAAGTGATGCTTTGCACATAAGATGTATGCCGAATTCTCTGGGAGAACGTATTCATTAACCATAGCCTATGGGCTGTGTAATGTGATGCGCGCCTTGTTGCGCACATGGAAGGAAACAATAAATTAGCAGATTTCCAAACAGGGTTTGGTTTTCACACGGTCGATCAGGTTAAATCTCCATCTCACTGCTGACTGCGCTTCCGAAACACGCACGGATCATTACCGTGCGCGTTAAACCCATAACACGGTGTGTCACTGGAATACAGGACCCCCGATGTTTACTGCATCACAGTGTGACGTAAGATTGCGTCGGGGCGATTGTTATTGCTCTGATTGCACGGTCATCTGAGGGTGTGATGTGTGTGTGTGTGTGT